AATAGAAGAGGAAGAAAAGGGCTATTGGGCTTTAGTTGTAACAACAACACGTTTGGCAGTGCCATTTCCTGAGAAGAGTGACAAGAGTCCAGTGTGGCTGGAGCCTGGTAGGGGCGGGAGCAAGGTGGGACCCTAGCATGTCCCACTTTGCCGTGTTAAAGTGAGATGCTCATTAGACATCCAAGTGGAGGGGCCCGGCAGGCAGTGGGTGTGCGGGTCTGGAGCCCTGCCCAGGAGTTTGAGCCAAAAGTCTGACCGAAGTGTTGACACAGAAGTCTTACCTGACATTCAGTCTTTAAGGACCAGTCAGGACCCTGGCTCACCTCCTGCTCCGATGCTTCCTGGGGTCACACCCACTAGGAGCATCTCACATGTGCTGGATTCTTCCCAGAAAGCAAAGTGCTCTCAATCCTGGTCACCAAAATGCTTCCAGCCCTGCTCTCTGTTGGCAGGCTGGCAGGGACTGTCTCCATTTTACAGAGGGGGAAACCGAGGCTCCGAGGCCGAGCGACAGGGAGTGGCTTACCCTGGGCCATACAGTCAATGAGAATGAGGATTATTAGAGGCCACCCCCAGGTCTCCAGCGGCCATACTGCATCCTCCTGGGGTGATGACTTCTCCATATGAGTCCACCAACCGCAACTGCTGCAGTCACGACACTGTGCTGATACCTACTGGAGTGCCAGGATGCCCTGCACGGAGACCTTTCTCCAAAGTTAATCATTACTGTAACCCCAAACTGGTCTTCCCGCTTTGCAGAAGATCAACCTGGAACTCAGACAGGTCCATGACTCACTGAGGTCACACAGCTAGTGGGTGGGAACCAAGAATCATGAGGCTCTGCGCTAACTGCTACTGTGCCCTGGAGAAGCACCCAATTCCGGAGCCTTGGTCTTCGGTATTTAACATCTCGGGGTTGGGGGCACTGTGCTCTCATGAGTTCTTTGACAGTGAAGCACTTCTTGATCAGGAAGGACAGTCCCCCACGACATCCTGTCCCCGTCCTAACAGGAAACACCCAATTAGTGACCTGGTGTTTCTTCAAAATGGTGGCCTAAGGAGCTGAAAGCCCAGGGCTCTGCTCGCCTGGGAAAGTCTCCATATCCGTCTGAGCCTCAGTTTTCTCATCCGTGAAAGGGGTATAAAAGCACTTGTTCTTCCTACCTCCTGGGCTGCTGGGAGGGTTCAGAGAGAAAACTGAGAAAGTCCTTGGGAGTCATGGAGGCCATGTTCATGTTGGCTGCCGTGGTCCTCCATTAGGCCAGGCAGTGGATGAGGGGTAGCAGAGGGGCCTCTGCCTTCAGGGTTTTGCCCCCGACCTACTCGTTCCACCCAGATGGACGCCCTGAGCCGGGGAGGAGGCGCGCCCCTGGTGGAGACGCTATGGTTGCTGCATCCGCAGGAGCCCAGGCGGAAGAGATGCTAAAGGGAGCGGAGACACACTGGCTGGCTAGAGAGGCCTGGGAGGTCGGGGTGTTATTTTTGTGTGATTGATCTGGCTTTTGGATACTTAACAGCAGAGAGAGGGAGAAGCTGGATACTGATGATGCAGGGCTTGTCTGTCTCCAAAGCTTCTGCTGGTCTTGCTACACCACTGTAGACATTTCCCTGGGAAGGGGACATCGTAGGGAGGGGACCTGCTCTTTGCCAGCTCTGTTTCTTATTGCCCAACAGGACACAGGAGTCCATGTCTCCAGCAGCCTCCCAGCTGGCTGTCTCCTCCCAGGTTGGGTCTCCTGGGGCACCAGCCAGCTAGAATGGGGTTGGCGGGGGTGGCCACTAGCTGCCTTGGTGGCCCATCAGGAGCACAGTTGTATGAAGCATGGGTCCTCCGTTTCCTCCTTAACTCTTGCACAGGCGAGTAGACTGAGCTGACCGTGGGCCTTGGCTGCACAGCGCAGGGGAGGAATTCAAACAGGGGCAGCCCTGACCTTGACAGAGAGCCAGGCCCTTGGGGGAGGCTCACTCGTGACAACAGCAGGTCTCTTAGTCTTGTCTAAGGCTTTTCTCCAGCACCTTCTACATTTGCTTGTCTGTTGATGCATTTGCTTATTTTAATATTGATTGAGGGCTCCCTTGCCAACATTGACACTGTCAGCATTTGGGGCTGGTTAAACCTTTGTTGCGGGGCCTGTCCTGGGCACTGTAGGAGGTTTGGCAGCACCCTGGCCTTACCTTCCAGATGCCGGTAGCAGCACCCTTCCCTCAGGTATGAAAGCCAACGATGTCTCCACACATTACCAAGTGTGTACCCTGATTG